TTGGTACAGCACAAAGAGGAGCCTTTAAAGCTGCCGGTGTGGTCACACTGCTTTATTTTAACATCCAAACCCAAGTCTTACTTCAAGTCTTCTCTGGATTCTAATATTTAATGATGCAAATGCTTATCCATTAGGGAGGCTGTTAAGGTGACTTTTTTCATCTTCAATGAGGAACAGGTTTTACTTGGGTGTTTTTTTATTGAAAATAAGAAAGATGAGCTGGTTTGTCTGTTTGTTGTGGGTTTGGCTGTGCTGACACCCAACTTTCCCCCCTTATTTTAGTGGCAGAATCACAGACCTTGGAATCAAATGTTGGAGCTTTACAATAAAAAGGCCAAATTAGTGCAAATTGTTCATTGTGTAGATACAGTTTTATGAACAGTTTGGGGTTGAATGATGTCTCTGTAGTGCTGCATTTAGGGCTCTTGAGCACAGCCTTGTTTTGGGGAGGTTTGAAGAGATTCCTAGTGGGTTTTTTGCTGCTTTTTGTTTTACCAGCACTTCCTTTTCTGTTAGTGATCGTTGCCTGCTGCAAGATTGAAATTTGACTGACATTTAGGGTTTTTTGTGATGAAATAAAAAACACTTTGTGCATATTATTCCTCTGGAGGTGGTGGAGGAATGTGTTGAGTTCCTGCTGGCCTTTTCCTCCCTGACTCACCTGTGTGGCTGGATGGGAGATCAGGAATTGCTTTAGTAGTGCCAGTGCAGGAGAAGTGTTACACAGATATTTCTGCTCAGTAATTGAGAGATGCATGATGTGAAATGATGATAATATTGTGATGCAGAGCACTTCAGAACTAATTTTGGAGCAGCTATTGCTTCTTGATGCTTTAAAATCAGCAATGTCAGGAGTTTAGGAGTTACCATAACACTAACATTACACTTAGGAGCACCAAGAAAGTGGTGCAGGGTAGTGAAGGAAAGGGGTGGTGTGGGATATACTGGATATTGCAGGTAGGTAGAAGCTTTCCAACCTTTCCTGTATCCCACACAAAATACTTTACTTGGGATTAAATATGGAAGAACTGAAGGAGAGCAGGAATTTCACTGCCAGAGTTAAAAATAGGTTCCTTTAAGCTGACTTGGAGTTCTGTGGTGAAGCTCATCCATCTTGTCACTTAAAAATGATGCTGAGATGTTTGTATAAGGCATTTTATTTGCCATGCACAGCTTCTTCAGGAGAAAAAAACCCTGGAGTGACAGCATATGCAATGTCATAGCAATACTTATTTATTGGGAACTGAGACTCCTGTTAGGATTCATAAGGGGGAAGAGGTGCTGAGATGTGGTTTCTGGTGGGATCTCATAGAGACTGTGTTGGCTTTTCAACACCAAAGGATTTCTGTCAGTGATCTGCGAGTTGACTCGATTGCTCCAGTTTAAGCTAAAATTAGTATGGGAGGGAAATCGTGGATGGAGCAGAGCCTGAATCACTGGATTAGGCTGAAGTGCGTGGATTTTTAGCAAACCCAAAGATGTGTTGGGATGTATCTCTGAAAGGTTCTCTCCTTGCTTTGTAGTTGGTGCCTTTTACACCTGGGAAGGACAAGAGAAGTTTTAGTCATGCTGTTGTGGTTGTATCCACATCTCCATCTGTGGCATGCAGGCTGAGTACTCCAAGTAGCTACTCCAGTGAGTAAGCAGTTTGTGCACAGGGCCTTAGTAAGAAAATAGTAAAAAATGCCATCCAGTTCCCAAAAGGTTTTGAAGGTCAATAGGCTCTTTGCACATATACACACCCCCAAACCCCCCTGAGGTGTGTTTTGGGTCACAGACCAGTTTAGTGCCAGTAGCAACTTCCTAGGAAGGGAAGATGCCACAACCAACTGCTTTAGAGCACCTGTTACCTTAGCTGTTCCCTAACAGAAACAATGTGCCCTTGGAAACCATTCCCTGGGATGAGAGGGATAGGTGAGGTCCTACCTTTGTTTGTGTGCTGCCAGACCTTCCTGTTGGGAGGTGTCTAAGCAGAGCAGCTCAGGTGAAATATCTTAGAATAGCCAAAATCCAACCCCACGCAGCAGTGAAGACAGACTGTGGTGGGATCTGAGTTCCTGAGGAGCAGAGGTTCAGGTAAAGGAGGGATCAGGATCCTTAGCTGAGCACAGCTCCAGGTGTATTCAGGAAAGGCTGATAGATCCAAGCTGCTCCTCATGTGGAGCTTAGCATGTTTGTTCTGTTCCCGGTGGTGTTTGAAAACCACGAGGATGTATCAGGATCCTGCAGGCATCAGCTAACAGGAGATTTTAATGATAAGCTGAAGGGCTCAGTCATGACTAATGGTCAGAAAATAGCCCTTATGATAAATCTGAAGCTAAATATAATTGAAAAAAGGAGGATGGAGGGGTGGCCATCACAGCCTGACAGAAATAGATCAGATCATTTGATTTTTGATGTGGCAAACGGCAAACAGGATCCAGGGTTTTTTTTTTGCTGAAGTGCTGCATGTTTTGCAATTGGAGCACTTCCCAGGGCCATGCTGAACTCTGGGTCAAAAACTTTCACTTTGAGAGTGGTTTCCTGCTCACGGTTGTGTCAGTCCAAGCTGAGAACTGATGCAGAGAAGTCTTAGCAAGAAAAATCTTCCCCAGAACAGAAGGGTGTTGTACCTCTCCAACTCCACGTGCCAGGAAACCACAACACCTCAGTTTGTGCGCGTGGAGCTCTTTTCCAAAAGACAGCACAGGTTGATCCTGACTCTGTTTGTCATTTTAGTTTCTCCAGACTATCCCATTTCTAGGCTGAGGTGAGGATGCTGTGAAACTCCATGGCAGAGCTGCCTTCAGCTCTCATTTGTTGTGCTTTTTCCCTTCCTAGGAGGAAGAGCAGTGACAGGTTGACCTATAATAACTACTTTGTCATCTGACTACTGTTTACACAGGGAATTATTTTAGTGGAGTCCTATTTTGGTAAATTGTCTTCCGAGTGACTTCACTGGGAGCTTGTCTTTATTATGAAGGCTTTGGTGAGTCCAAGGTGTGCAGGTCCTCTGCAGAAGGCAGGAATTAAACCTGGGCCTGTCAGCTTAGGGCTGGAGGGAAAAAATTCCTCTTCCAGCAGAGGATTTTTTTACATCTAATAAACTGCATATATGATTTTTTTTTTCAAGTAAAGAGACTTCTAAATGACACATCTGATGCTTTTTTTTCCTTGTTTTGGTCCCACTCATTTTGTCTGTCACACACATGTGCCTGTCCCGATAATGTGTTACCACCTGTGTTGGAACACATTTCCTTTTGGGCTCACTATTCATTGTAGCAGTTACTTTTCATATCCTTCACAGCCTAATGTCACTGTATAGTTGATGTTGTAGCAATTCAGCCTTGAATTCCTTGAAGATGTACTCTGGCTCTTGCTCTTGGTTATCAACAGCTTCATTGTGGCCAGTAATGTCATCATTGCAGTGTGGGAAGACTTACCCCAGTGCAGTTTCTGATAGGAATGCTTATTTTGTTGGGTTGTGGTTTGGGAAGGTGTTCATAGCCCTGTGAGATCATCAGGGGTGTGGTACAGTTCTGCTATCTGATTATCACAGCTTTTCCTCGTATTATTTTCATCCTGAGTGTGCCAAGTTAGGAGACTTTGGAGAAGCTACACTGAGTACTCTGTTCCAGGCTGAGAGCAGGAGGCTGTAGGAGATAAGTCAGTTGTAAAGCTGGAGCATCGTTACAAAGCCTCTAAACAGTGGGTAGTATCCAGGAGTGGATCAGCTTCTCCAGGAAGGCACCAGCACTTGGAGACAGAGAAATGACCATGGAGAGCTTCCTGCCTTCAGCTGCTCTTCAGAGTGTCCATCCCTCCTTCAGGTGGGGTCCTGGGCAATCCCAGGCTGTGGAATGATAAAATAAGGCTATTATTAAAAATACAACCTGCTGTTGTAGCATCATGTGAGTTGTGTGGTCACGTCAGGGGAATTTTTAGTGTTGGGATGCTTGGACCTGCCTGTTCTGGCTCTCCCCAGGTTGGTGCTGCAGCAGGTGAGCCCTGTGCACTTTGCTTTTATACAGCAGGAAGTTGTCCTTGTGTGGGGCTTGGATTTCCCCCGTTTTTCTTGTGATGAGCTGCATTTTGGTCCTCAAACATGAGAAGTCCAGCCTTCAAAGCAGTGTGGAACCATTCCTTCTTTTCCATCTTTCCTTTTGCTTTGTAACTCTTCCCTTTGAGGAGGTAAAGTTGGTCAGAGCTGAAATTGATTCTGATGAAATGCACATTGTTATTGATAAAAATAATTATGCTCTGAAAGCCAAAATTTTAATCCTTATCTTCAGTTCTGCTTTTTGCTGCTGAGCTCTCTTTGCTGTTCCTTTTCCTTCTAACCTGTCTTAGTGCAGTCCCTTATGCTCTGAGACTCAAAGCTTTCCCTGGACTTGTGCAAGTTAAGTTACAATAAAAACGGAATTGCTTTGAACTTTGCTGTTCTCATTCACTGCAAAGTTCAAAGCATGGAACAAAATCACTCTGGACTGATTTATTTGCCTGTTTTCACTGCAGTAACACAAGCAATAATAAACCAATTGATGTATATTTACAATTGGATTTTTTCCCCCCCTGAATATTGGAGAGGAAATGGCCAAAAATTTTGCTCTCACAGTGGCAAAGGTTTTAGGTGGTTTTTATTTGTAAATAATAGTTTTATAACTCAGTTTTCTTACTAAGTCTCTTGATTTGAGCTAGTTTATAATGCTAGTCCATGGTTTTTTATAATGCTTTCAGTGCTGTTTTATGCACAACTTGTCTCAACTTTGTCGTTTAAAACAGATGTTTATTCCTGATGCCATATACCCTTTTCCTCCCAACCTTTGAGGCTGTTTTACTACGAAATAAAACTGGCATGAATAGTTTAGTTATCTCCATCTCCTATAGGATTTCTCCTTTGATAAGGAAAATTAACCCCTCTGTGTACAAGTAAATAAAGTGAATGAACTTAGAGTTGTGCAAGAACTTTTTCAGTTGGTCTAAATGCAGAATATAACTTTGATCTTGATTCTTTCCAGACTATGAGAAGACAGAGAAATGAAGTTGTCGTGGAGCTGAGAAAGGTGAGAGACGACCCAACATAATTCTTACCAAATGGGAGTTGACTATGTTCTTATTTCACTAAAATAGAGTTTTTGTTGAAGACTTAAAAACCCACAGTTGTGTCTTCATTTCTTAGTCCCCAAAGAACACCTTTTCCTTCTATTTGTCTTCACTAAGCTAAACTTCGGTTCAGAAGAAAGTTCTGAAGTTTCTATACCTGATACAGGGAATTTCATAATTTTTGTTCAGACGAACAGGGTTTATTTGTAATTTAATAAAGGCAATAATTCTTGCTTTTTTGAGACTTTTAAAGCCTTATAAAAAGCTTGGGTTTTCCCTTTAAAAGTCAGATGTTCCTGCTAGTCTGCACACAAAGCTGCTTCCTTACAGCACACAAGAGAAGAAGAGTATATATGTGAAGGTAACACTGGAACTATTGGCCAACTAGCTTATGAGAAAAGTAATCAGAGCTGGAGTGATTTTACTCCTGGGGTGAACAGCAAACTGTGCCCTGGGAATTGCTGTTACAGCTGCTGACAAATAGACTGTGATGTCAGTGTTGATGGATGTGTGCACAGGAAACTTCCAGCACAGGTTGTTGCTGCACACGTGGGGTTGGCTGTAGGTTTTTTGAGGAAGAAGTAATTCTCAGAATGTGATTCTCTGTGCAGTCCTTCCCAACTGCTCCTTGGAAATGTTACCAGTGTCAATGACAGTGTTTGATGCCTCTTTTTCTTAACACCCTCATACCCCTAAGTCCAGGTTTTAAAGTTATCTAATCACTTTTCTCTTTAAGAACAAAAGAGATGAGCATCTCCTAAAGAGAAGGAATGTTCCCCATGAAGACATCTGTGAAGATTCTGACATAGATGGTGACTTTAGAGTGGTAAGAATTAAATCTCAAGCACATCTTCTTGCATTCTCTAAGGACTTTTCCTATCTCTAACTGCCTTTGTCTCTGTTTTCTAGCAAAACACTTCCTTGGAGGCAATAGTACAGGTAAAAACCAACTTAATTGTTTGAATATGCTTCATGTCATGGTGACAAATGTGTGAAAAATGTTAATTTTTCTTATTTTAGAATGCTTCAAGTGACAACCAGGGTATACAGTTAAGTGCTGTGCAGGCAGCAAGGTAAGAACACTCTTCTCTCAAACAGCCTAGTTGTATTCATAACTAGAAATAGTAATTAACTGGTCTTAAAACTTGATATAGAGATCTTTAAAAATCAGAATACATTGATCTTTGAAGTAGTGAGGATTTATCTTGATGCAAAACTGATGCTTATTAGAGTAAAACACAATTAGGAGGACTATAAAGCCTTTAGCTTTAAATGCAGAGAGATCTCAGCATCTCTTGCTGGGTGGAGGAGGAAGAAGCTGTAGGAGGGTGTAACTGGATAACTCTGATCTTTATTTTACTGACTGGTGATAAACTTCAGAAGTAGAGAAAACATGGGAAGCAAACAGGCAGTGGATAATCATAGGATGTTAAGGGGTTGGAATGGACCTTAGAGATCATAATGGCTTTGGTTTTCTAGTTATTTTCAGCTAAAAGTAAGGAAACAAATTCTGCTTGGTGTTTGGGATTAGGAGAGACACACTAGGAAACAGCTTCCCAGACCAGTCATGTGGCACTGGAACAGTTTATCCAGGGAGGTTGTTGGGACTCTGTGCTTGGAGGTTTCCAACACTCAACTACAGGAAGCCATTACTGGGCTGCCCTAGTGTCTGCACTAATCCCTCTTTGAGTGGAAGGTTGGACTAAACATCCACAAGTTCCTCTGCAGCCATGATTTCCAGGATGTGCATGTTAATGTGGTGTTTTCTTTCTTCCCTGTACAGGAAGCTGCTCTCCAGTGACCGCAACCCACCAATTGATGACCTAATAAAATCAGGAATATTACCTATTTTAGTGCACTGTCTTGAAAGAGATGACAAGTGAGTATTGCCAAGGCTTCAGATGTTTGCACTGTCGCATGAATTCTTGTGTTCAGCTAATGTGGGAGCGATTGGAGAACTGAGGTTACAATAATTCTTGGTTTTCTCTTCCTCTGCAGTCCTTCCTTACAGTTTGAAGCTGCCTGGGCTCTGACAAACATTGCCTCTGGGACCTCGGAGCAAACACAGGCTGTAGTTCAGTCAAGTAAGTTCAGCAGTGTTAGAGCTTTGATAACCTGCTCTGAATGAGACCATAAAGAACATCCACACACACTCCTGTTCCTCTGCTCACCAATCCACACAGTAGGGTTGGCCCTTTGGTTGAAATCGAGTTGTCAGTCAGAGGCTGAAGGATGGCACCGAAGGACCTGCTCAGGATGTCTCCTGCCAGATGTTCTACCTCTGCTCTGGCAAGCAGTATCAGGAGGAATTTCTTCATGGATGGTCAGGCATGGGAGTGGACTGTCCAGGGAGGTGGTGGAGTAACCATTCCTGGAGGTGTTTAAGGAGAGACTAGACATGGGCACTTAGTGACATGTTCTGGTTGATAAGGTGGTGTTAGGTCATAGGTTGGACTTAATGATCTCAGAGGTCTTTTCCAACCTGAATGATTCTGTGATTAAAGTTGCTTTTTCCCCATCCTCTTCCTTTCCCAGTTACAATCTGAGTTTTCTTCTGGAAATCTAATGGACACTGCCCCACATCTCTGATGCAGAACACTTTATATTTAAACCTTACCAATGGATTGAACTCTTCTTTCAGTGATGTTCTGTAGGTCTGTGTGCACTAATTAGTCACTTTCATATGTCCTAGCTAATAAATTAGGATTTATTTCAAGGAAAAATAGGATCCATTGGAATCTTTCCAGAAGTACTTACCAATATGCTTGCTGGGGATGTTTTCTCTCCCTGCATACAGGGAAATACTTTTGTTTAGTAGGAAATAAGAATTGTACTGTTTGTTATTTCTCTAATAAAATGTGATTTACACTGAGAGAGATTCTAACAAAAAAATCAGTTTCCCCTTAAATATGTGTTCTAAAATAAATAGGTTTCTTACAGATTGAACTGTTAAGCAAGAACCTTAGTGCTGGGGGGGCAAAAAGCAGGATCAGTTATCTACATGTGGTAGATTAGAGCCTTTTCCTGCTCTCTCCCTACATTCCCAGTCCCTAATGTATCTGTGCAGCTATTTACTCCTGAGTTGGTTCATTTGACTTACTGAGATTGGTCTTTAAATTACAACTTTGCATAACTTGGCACAGAATTCAATCAATGTAGCTAAATTTAGATCCTGACAAGCTTCAATGAACTTGACTTACAAACAAATTTAATGCCAGGTTTTAATACTCTGATTATAAGAATAAAGGAAGAATTATTGCAGTGTTTTACTTCAGTACCACCAGGGAAATTAGTGACTGAAGTTTTGACCAGTACCTAATCAGGAGAAAAATTTCTTGTGATATTTTATTTAAGGATTAAATACATGAGCCATTTTGTCTTTGGAGTTGCATTTTCTAACCATTCCTTGGGGTTTGCTGGTGTTTTGCAGATGCTGTGCCCCTTTTCCTGAGACTGCTGCATTCACCCCATCAAAATGTTTGTGAGCAAGCTGTGTGGGCTTTAGGAAATATCATAGGTGGGTGCTACCAAAAACTTCTTAAGGATGTTTTAATGTTGTCTATGAACTTTGTGAAGAAATCCTCAGGAATATGCTGGGTTGTCAACTGTTGTCAGTGGTTTAGTGTTGTCTGCCATCCCTTTCCCTTCCTACCACCACTTCAGTTTTTGTTGTAAATTATAGAACTCTTTTCTGTTATAATACCACTAATAATTGTTTGTTGCCTTCAATAGGTGATGGACCCCAGTGTAGAGATTATGTTATTAGCCTTGGAGTAGTGAAGCCACTGCTGTCCTTCATCAGCCCATCCATCCCCATCACCTTCTTAAGGAATGTCACTTGGGTCATGGTCAACTTGTGCCGCCACAAAGATCCTCCTCCTCCAATGGAAACCATTCAGGAGGTGATGGAATTGCTGATCAGTGTGACTTAGCTCAGCTCAGTGTGTCTGCCTTCAAAATAACTCTCAGGTGTTTGTTTCCCCCCTCAGATCCTTCCAGCTCTCTGCGTTTTAATTCACCACACGGATGTAAATGTAAGTAACCTCCCTTAGAGTCTGCTTTGTGTTCTGAAGGAGTTTTATAGCTGAAAGTACAAGGATTAATCACAAGTAACTTTTTTTCTTCATTAAAAAATAAGTCTGATGTTCTTTCATTAGGGCAAACTTACTTTTTACCTGCTTATTTGTAAGTATCAGTTAGGTTTTTCCTTGATATTTCTGTCTTTCAAGTGCTTATTTGCATGGACTTTCCCTGCACTTAAAAATGCAGTTTCAGTTGTATTTCTGTGAACATTCATCTACAGATAAATACAGGAGGGTTTGGGGTTTTTTGCCTGGCACTTATATTTTAATGAAAATGAGTGTAAATGAAGAAAAAGTCAGTGTTTGCTGCATGTGCCTTATGTCAAGTTTAGGTGTAAGTGCTGAGGTGTTAAATATGGACATTAGTACTTAATAGGTAAATGAACAAGGCTTTGCTGAAGTTATGAAAAATGATGGAATTATGACAGAAATCATCTTTTTGCCTGAACAGGCCAGAATTTAAAATCAGTTCTTTGCCTCTTGTTGCAGTTGGGGCTCAGTTGTCTAAGTTAATGGCAAAAGTGCTTTGCCAAAATACATCTCAATATATTAACAAATGCTAATAATAATTGTGCTAGTTAATTTCTTGTCTAGAAGTAGATGAAGTTAAGCTCATTTGAATTTCTGAAATGGCTCTATTTGTGAATCAGCCAAGAGCTGTCAGCTGAAACAACACTTGGAGTTTTGTAAGCTGTCACTTAATATCAGATTCACAGCTATTTAAGTTGGCTTTGACTACACATGTGGATTAATGTATATTAATTTTAAACTTATTTTTTAATGCAGTTTTAAAATTGCCATTATTTTTGGTGACATTTGTGGTGTTTCTGTCCTAACAAAGCTGTTCTTCCTGTCAGATATTGGTAGATACAGTCTGGGCACTCTCCTATCTAACGGATGCTGGCAATGAACAGATCCAGATGGTGATAGACTCTGGAATAGTCCCTCACTTGGTTCCTCTTCTCAGCCACCAAGAAGTTAAAGTGCAAGTAAGTTTGGATCCCTCTGAGGAAGTGGTGCTGAAAATGTGCTACTAGAGAAAACATTTAGGTTCTTTTTATAGTTCACGTTGACTTTCAAGAGTATTTTTTGCACGTGTGATGCAGCATTGGATGATGCTGTGATTTGCAGAGAACCTTTTGCTTTCTGAACTGTCAGTGTTTGTGCTCAGCTCAAAGAATGTTTGATTAAAAGAGCTCTTTGATTGAAAGAACTCTGATTCAAGGGGGTGTTTTGTTGCAGACAGCTGCCCTGAGGGCTGTGGGGAACATCGTCACTGGCACCGATGAACAGACACAGGTAGTTCTCAATTGTGAAGCTCTTTCCCATTTTCCAGCACTTCTGACACATCCCAAAGAAAAAATTAATAAGGTAAGCACCTGCAGGGATTGCACCTGGTTGATCACTTGTCTATTAGCTTGGATTCCACATCTAGTGTCATAGAGATTTGACGAATTGACTCCTTATCCCAGTTTGGGGCAAATTACAGCAAGTGCTGAAATTTCCCTAGAAACTAACATCCACAGAAAAATCTCTAAGGAGCTGCAGCCTTGCACTTGACAAGAATGTTGTTTCCTGATTGTTCTAATTGAATTTTTATGAAATTAAAACTTTATCTTATCAGTCTGTTGACTTAGAAGTTTGAGTTCTCCATACGTGAAATGTCACTTTAATTAAACTGACTCTCTTGGAAGTGATGAAATAGAGATAATTGGGTGTCTCTGTGAATGGAGTGTGTGAGAGAGATGGAATTGAAGCCAAGGCAGGCTGGGGGTGGGGAATGCGTGTGTGTGGATGTGTGGAAAAGGCTTTAAATGGGGGCACTGATTGCAGTGCTGATTCCGGAGTGCATCTGAGGCGTGTTGTGCACTTCTGGGGCCTCTCTGCAACACTGCCAATGATTAAAGCCCAAAACAAGCCCACCAGGAGAAGCCAAGGCATCCCAAATCTCTGGCAGGGTCACTAGTGATCCTGTGATCTGATCTCAGAGACTCAGTTGAATGAAAAGTGAGAGAGAATTTCTGACGCTCATTTTGAGAGAAATATTCAGCTTGAAAGTCGTTCCAGAGAGTTGAGAGGAAAAGGGAATTGAGTAGGAGTGGTGGAGGTTTTCTAGGAAGAGAAAATTTCATCAGCTGTAAGATGAAAAGTTGATACTCTGAATATGCTTAAAATTTTATGTGAAACAGTTATTTCCTGACTAAAATATAGATTCCCACTGAAAAAGGGAGGTGGGAGTTCTCAATCCTTATTTAACATCGTCCAGGCACAGTCTTTGTGCAGGGACAGATCTCCCCAGCAGCACCTCTAGTCCTGAACAGTTGGAATTTTGGGCTAAACCACTGTCCCAGGCAGGTGACTGTTGCTGGAAGGAGCATCCTGAGCTGGTGGACAGAATGAGCATCAAGGGTCATGTAATTTTAGAGCAGTGAAAATCAAGTGTTTAACTAGCAGGTGTTGCATTTTCTTGATGATTGAAGCCAAGAAGAGAAACATTGCGAAGGAGGTAAAGAACATATCGTGTCCTACCACTCATGTCTGGAGAACATGAAGCTGTCATGCAATTGGAGCTCACCTGAGCATCAGCTGAAACCTACAGCCTTTGTTCTCAGTGATGAAAGCAATTACTGAGAGGTCATTTGTGACTTGTTTCTCTCCAAATAATATCACCTTTTAATTGGAAGTATTTGGTTGTAACTTGGTAACAATGAAAGACTGAAGAGTCTTGTGGAGTCTCCCAAGGAGAGATTGTCCCCTTTGTGTGCTCTCCTTGGGAATTCAGCTATGTGCAATCAGCCTGGCAGAACACTTGGTTTTGTTTAAGGTTGTCTTGTGTATGGATTGCAGAGCTATAAATGTGCATGTATGTACTCTTGCTGGAGTGGAAATCCGTGATTTAAAAGCCTAGGTGAATTAATTCCTCACATCCCTTTGTTTTGCAGGAAGCAGTTTGGTTCCTATCTAACATCACTGCAGGAAACCAGCAGCAAGTCCAGGCAGTAATAGATGCAAACCTTGTTCCAATGATAATACATCTTCTAGATAAGGTTAGACCACAAGGATTGATGTTGAATGCTCGTTTGGCACTTCACATGCCTCTGTTCCATCTCAGTTTGTGTGTTAGTGTCTTAAAACATGAGTTTCCAAGCCGTTTTGTGTCGGGAAGAAGGGGATAGCTGAAAGCATGTAAGAAATATTTAGGGGACAGGATAAATAACAGAAGTGTTCACAGGTAGTTGTTAACTGCCAATTTATTGATCTCTGAGAGCTTTTCTCTTTCAATTGAACAAGCAGACCTTGAGTCACTGGAGAGACAGCCACAGTTAGAGTGTGAGCAGTGCTTTATCAGAGCTGACACAGTGCTTATCTCTGCCTGTAGTACATGACAGCTGTTGATAAGCAGTGTGAGAGTGGAGCGCTGCAGTTCTCACTTACTTTGATGTAAACAAATTTCCCTTCCTCTGGTAGATCAGTTGGAAAATGTGGTTGCAGGAAGGGATGAGCATTGAGTAGACTCAAACAGCTGCAGGATTTATTAGCCACTTTGCCTACTGAGAACTGATAAGGTGATACTTTGCAGAGTAACAAATCCAAGCTTGGATGGGAATACTAAATAACATAAACCTGGAATGATTGTATCTGTGGTTGTATTTTTAGGGTGACTTTGGCACTCAGAAAGAAGCTGCTTGGGCAATAAGCAACTTAACCATCAGTGGAAGAAAAGACCAAGTGAGTCAAACCTTAAGGTCTATTCCCTTGCGTGCATTTGAGAGTGTGACAGGATTATGGATGTCTTTATTCCTCTACTGTCCAGTAGCTCTTCCTTTTTCCACAAGGAATTTAACAGCTGCAGTGTCATCTCTGGAATGACTTGAGATCTGGAGCATCACTGGGGATTTGGTTGGAAGCTCTTGTGCTAGGATGGCCTGGGAGCTCTGAATGACTGCATTCAGGTTCTGATGGGATTCTGGGCCGTTCCACATCCTGTTACCTTTTTCCCCCAACCATAAGAAAGTGATAATTAGAAGGATAGTGACCAGTGAGTAGAACTACTCTAGTTTCTTACAAGCCCAGAACATTAGATCAGTGGTTAGTGGTGCCATCACTCTTCAATGTGAGCTTGAAACCCCTCACCTAGTACTTAAGAATTAACATTATCTACTACTTGTGTGTTGTAGACCTTAAATATAGTTGTAACAGCACATAAATTTGATTGGATGCTCTAAAAAGTGGTTTCTGAATGTGGAATACTCTCAGCTGGTTGGGGAGCTTGGAGGCCTTTGACTTCATGGAACTTGTTCGCTTGTGCCACATTCCTGGTGTAACTTTTACCTTTTTCCCCTCAGGTGGCTTACTTAATCCAGCAAAATGTAATTCCTCCCTTTTGCAATTTGCTGACAGTAAAAGATGCACAAGTTGTGCAAGTGGTTCTGGATGGACTAAGTAATATATTAAAAATGGCTGAAGATGAAGCAGAAACCATAGCCAATCTTATAGAAGAGTGTGGAGGTATGAGACTTCATTTTTCTGACAGCTTATCCCAAAAATCAATGTTTTGGCTTCCTACTGTGTGTATTTGCTCTTGGCTTTGGTGTGTGTTGGCACAGATGGTTCAATAAACCTTTTTCCAAGTGACTTTTTCATGCCCATCAGGTGAACAGAATGTCTTCTAGCTAATTTAGTTCCTGATCAAGTAAGATGTGGATTTGAAGTAAAATGAGGAGCTGAATAATGGCAGTAAAGTTTATTAGGTGCCACTTTTGTAACAGTCCAAAACATTAGACAAATGAGTCTAACTGACTTGATGTAGGGATGATGTTGCTTAACTTAGTCATGCACAAGTCATGTCCAGGTGAACTTGGAAGAGAAATTCTACATACAGTGGTTGTAGAAATAGAATAACTTGGAAGTTCCTAATGGCTTTGAGACTTTATGTTGGTTAGTATTTAAGTTGACTGAAACTTTTTAGGGATGAAAGAACAATAAGAAACTTAGAGATAACATGGAGTGGAATAGTCAAAAAGACAAAAATGTTGGGGAAAGCTTAACTGATTGGTGATGGTCAGGAGAGAAAAGAGGTTTAAAAGCATAAGACTCTGCTTGTCAGAGCTTCAAAATATTTATAGGTACTGTACCTATATATATTTGTGTATATATATCATATAATACATATATAATAGATGATATATATATATAGAGAGAGAGATAATACATAGATATAAATACTCCAAATGAGCTTAACAACATCTTATTCATGGTCACTCTGTTCCCAGATTGAGTTTTAATGTCTTTGTATGATGAGGTCTTAAGGTTGTTGTGCCTGAACTTGGTGTTCTTATGTTCCTTATTGTGTGTTGTAGGCCTGGAGAAAATTGAACAGCTACAGAATCATGAAAATGAAGACATCTACAAACTGGCTTATGAGATCATTGATCAGTTCTTCTCTTCAGATGATGTGAGTGTGGAACAGCTCTGCAATCTGCTTTTGTGATAGTCCATGGTTATAATGGTTCAGGAGCTGTGACACTTGCTTGGTTGGGTGGAGCTTGAGCCCTTGTTTGAACCAGTTGCATATTAACCATACTTCATGATGCAGCATCTAAAGCAGATCTGATGCCTAATTTAAGCCTCATCTCTAAGGATTAAAATCCCAGGCTTGGAATAGTTCTCTTAACTCTCAGCTGCTGCCTGAGCTTGACATTGCCATTTGCTAAGCTCCCTGCTGGCTCCAGTGCCCCATTGGAGGTTCTGCTGCTTAGGAGACAAACCACTGTGAATATCTCAGTAATTTCAGAGCTGGGATGTGCTGATCAACAATGCTTTCATTTCTAACATGTAACATAAAGGAAGGTTTGATTTCTGTGCACTTTAAATGGTAGCAGCTAATTGCATAGAAAGGAGGTGCAATCATGGCTCTCTGTGTATGAAGGGAGAGAGTTTTCCATGTGGTTGAAGACCTTTTGGGAGCAGATTATTGCTGCATTCATGCCCTATTTTCACTTTGAAAATTACTTTTTGCTAGAGTTTCACTTCTATGTGAACAATAAATTCCAGGCCTTGTTTAGCAGCTCAGATGTTGCACATACAGCAGGACTAGTGTCAGTTTGGTCAGCTGTGTGCTACCTAGTTCAATAGAAACTGCACTCTGGGCTTCATTGGTTTTATCTTGAGAACTGTGACAGTTTGGAAGGCTGACAGAACACTTTGCAGGAGTGGTAATTGCATGAACAAGAGATGATTGGGTGCCCTGGAGCTACCTGCTAAACACAAGCTAAAACATTTTGGCTTAAATTACTTCATCCAACTTAAATTTCTTCATCAAAGCCAGGCTGGATAGAGCCTTGAGCAACCTTGTCTGGTGGGAGGTGTCTCTGCCCAGGGCAGGGGTTGGGGCTGGATGATCTTTAAGGTCCATTCCAATCCTTTACCAGTCTATGGCTATTTTAATGCAGTCACCAAATTAGAGGAGAGGAATGGCAAGACTTGCTGCAGGGAAGGTGAAAAGAGAGATGTTTCTTGGGTTGTGCAGCTCGTTTTTAGTGATGTTTTGTGTCCCTGCCCCTCCTGACTGTGTTCCCATTGCATTGCAGATTGATGAAGATCCAAGCCTTGTTCCAGAAGCAATCCAAGGCGGAACATTTGGTTTCAATTCATCTGCCAATGTACCAGCAGAAGGGTTCCAGTTTTAGAGTGGCATTTTGGGAAGTTAGGTACAATGCAGCACTGAAATCAAAAAACACACAAAAAAAATAAGGTTTGATCCATCAATCTTGGCTCATGGGATCTGCTGCTGCATTTTAAAATCGGGGGAAAGCAAAATGTGAAGATTTCATTTGGAATCCCAGCAAAGCCCAAATGGAGTCAGGAATGGCGAGTGGGTGCGAGTGAGAATGAGTGGCAAAACGCAATGACAAACTTCACACTGAATGCTTATTTAGATTGTTCAAAGAAACAAAAAGGGCTACAGGTCAAAGATCTTCAGTGCCTGAGAAAGGAACAAGGACTTCCTAGAGCAATGTGGGGGGATGCAGCCCTACCATCCTCAAGCCTTGTCAGCAGAAGAGAACAGGATGCCCACGAGAGTGCGAGGAGGACGAGCCCAGGCCTTGCTCCGGAGCACCGTGTGAGTGGCCGCGCTGAGTGAATGTCTGGGCTCGCTGCCCAGTGGCCCCAGCAGGGGCTCCTGCCGCAGGCCCCGGCCCGTGGTGTGTAAGAGTGTGGTGTGATGCTGTCTGTGAGCGCATGAGTCGCCTTCAGGGGCTGAGAACAACCTAATCCATCAGCAAAATGAGGTCACAAGTGTAACTTACACTGGACACAAACCGGTTTAGCAGCAGACTCTGGTTTACTCCTGCAGCCTGTGTTTGTTTTTTTTTAAATCTTTTTAGTTTTGTTTTGGTTTCTTTTCCCCCCTCTTCTTTTTCTTTTCAATTTCTTTCCTCTATGGCTTCTTAGTTGTTTGTAAAGTCAGAATTTCAGGAAGGCTTCCCTGTGCATTTGCACCAGATGAATGTTTGATGTTATGAAAAGCTTTTCCATATCATCAAAAAAAAAACCACCACAAACCCTAATTTGTAGATTTATTTTTTTTTTGCATGGAAAAAAAGAAATAACTAAAAATAAACCATCCATTTCCTCCCAACTAGACTGTGTTGCAGTACACAAGTTGCCATAATAGTAGAAAGCAGTAAAATGTGGTAATAAAAAAAAACTCCTTTTCATTTTCAAAGATAACATGAAAGACCTTTTGCATGTGATAAATCTTGCAGCATAGTTCATTTTTTAGATTTTGTTGGGTCCTGTAACCAAACTTGTTTCTGTTGTGGTAGGATACTGTGCTGTGTTTCAATGTTACTTGTTTTCAGACTTTGTTTTCTATGAAAATGATATGGAAACTTCGACAAAAAGGAAATTTGGTGCATATGTACTGCAGAATAAAGACCAGAAAACAAACAAGAGAGGTGTGAATAGATGTACAAATCCAGTCATGGTTTGAACACCTTTAATATGCCTAATCCAATTGTTTTAGACTCTTTTTATCTTAGATGTAGGCAGCCATGAACAATCTATTTTGAGCCACTTTAGAGAGGGAAAAACTTTGTATTTTTCCAACTTGCACTACAAAAAGGATGCAAGTGTTTTTATAAATTGGAAGAATGCCTCAGTTTTGAGGTCCTGCACACTAAATTCAAGGTGACATTACAGATTTGTACAAACTGAACTCTTTATAAGGTGGCTCATTGTAGGAAATGCTGTGCCTTCCCCTTTGAGCACAAAGTGTTGCATGAAACAACAGTTTGCTATAAGAAAACCATACCAGATTAGCCACCATTTAGCATCTCTTATCTACCTTGTGTTTTCAAATCAGCTGGTAATTCTGAAACACTGTAGAATGGATAAAGATTATTTTGTGATCATAACTCTTTGTTGGACTCTAGAGTATTTTTGCAGCATTCCTTGTCATCAGAAACATGGTTAAAAGTTTCAAACTAGAAGCAGCGGAATCTAGCTTGTGAATTTATCCAAGTAGAGTGCAGGCTAGGCTGTCTTGGGGAAATAAACATTAAAACTTGCAATTCTCTGCTGTTACTGGTGTCTCTTTGTAGCAAACACTCACTTGCCAGCAAGAGTCTTGGAAGAAATTGTCTTAGAAAGCTTCTCCTTTGAGATTTGGACCTGCTAAATGTCTCTGTGGTGTGTTGTGGAGGTTGGAGGAACAACACTGCCCCAACCCTGGCAGTGTTCACAGCCAGGTTGGATGAGCCTTGAGCAACCTGTTCTGGTGGGAGGTGTCCCTGCCCAGGGCAGGGGGTTGGGACTAGATGATCTCTAAGCTCCATTCCAACCTTTTCACATACATAGGTTCATATACTCATAGTTCTGTAGAAATTTCTTTTATTAGAATCCTTCTTTGGGGGGGTAAGAGAAAAACAGACGTTTGTGGCAACTTCTATATTCCTGAAACAACAAAAAAACCAAGCCACTGACAACATCTGTATTTACTGCCCCAAAATGGCTTTTGTTGGCACTTCCCTGATGTAAGAGAATTCCAGAAGATTATCTTTCTGTCTGAGCTTTTTGCCTTTTTTGGTGGGTTTGGGTTTTTTTTGGTGGGCTTTTAAGGGGGAGATTCTCTTGCCCTGATTCACAGCAGGTCTTGGCACTTGTTACTGCTTTCCCAAAACATGGAAAACTCAAGCATTCCAACCTTCCCAGGGAGGCACAGCTTGATTCCTTGGGAGCAAAGCTGAAGCCACTTTGCCTTTTTTTTTCCCCAAAGCTGGAGTTTGAGGTAATGCAATGAATCACATTGCTGGGGAAAGGGGACTTGTTTGGGAGGCTTGGGATGCACACAAGGAATAAGGGTAGGCTGTTAGGAACACTGATCACACTGAGGTTGGTTATTAATCAACTCTCTATTTTAGAGTAAAAAAAAAAATCCCTCTTCCAGCTGCACTTAGGGCAGCAAATAGCTCAGGAAAGATTTCAAATATGAAAAGGTCCAAAATTAATCCATAAATCAGCTATTCCAGGTAGGATTTTTATCCCCAGGATCAAAGAACTGGCCTGGAATTTTAGGATGCTGAGTGGAAAGGAAGAGCTTGAGAGGAGCTGAAGTGGAATTGCCTCTGGTTGTGTGAAGCCTTTCAGAGCTGTTTCCTGGCTCATGGAGCACTGACAGACCAATGTCCCATCTCCAGGCTGGTGGATCACAGGCATTCCCAGTAAGTTGTGCACTCCTGGTTTGGTGGTGGAACAGGCTGGGTTGGCTGATAACATTCTGGATAAGGTGTTAAGATGACTTCGAAGGTTTTCTGGGTTAGGTTTATAACTTGATGGAAAGGGCAGAAATCTTGAGTTCTATCAGCAGGACAAGGTCATGGTTTGAATCCAGAATGTCCTTCCCAAATGCAGTTTTTCAGATTAAATGAATGAATTCTTAACACTTTTTAAGTGCATAAAGTGGGTGAAAACCAACACATGATCTTACTCTGAACATCACTCAGTTATATGGTAAGTTCTTGTTAAAAGTTCCCTTGTTTCAGTAGCTTTTTTTCCCTTGAGATTTCCTGGGTGTGCAGAGAGGGGAGGAGGGGGGAAAGGATTATAATGGAGTTCATATAGCCCAGAAACAAATCAACTCCCAGGCTGAGCATTCCTGGAGTAAAATATCAGTCTGTTCCTATTCAGCACCACAAAAATTAGAGTATTGAGGAGCTGGAGAAGAATTTTTGGAGAAGGAAAACAGATTTAGACCTTGTGGTGGGAGAGGGAGGGGAGCAGTGATACCATGGACAGCTACAGCTTTTTCCTCTGGAAAATAGGGTTGAGAAGGATAAGAAGAAGAAGAAGCGGAAACTGTAATGATTCAGTGATGAAAGGAAGGCAAAATGCTCCTGGCTTGAAAGGATGAAACTGTAAGGTGGGAGAAAGCAAAAGGAATTCACCCAGTTTACCCCAAACTCTGTGAAACTCACAATGTAAGATGTAGTGATTATTTATGGTGCAAAGGAGGGAAATAATAACTACCACCAGCTCTGGATTGCTCATGTTTTACTTCATTCTGAGCAAAAATCTGTACCTTGCACCTGCAGCTTTGTGTGATCCTGTCTGGGATTTCTGAGACTACTTTGGGCATGTGAATAAACCACATGCAGAGGTTTGTTCAGAGAGGGAGAGAACTAGCTCTGCCCTGAGCCAAAAACATCCCTATGTGCCCAGGAATCCTGTAATCCCAACCCTGTACCTGGGACAGATGCTCTCCCAGGTAGGTACCAGAGCTATCAGTGAATGGGTCAAACCCTACATGATATTCCTACTGAATATGTAAATAGCTGAGTGCCACGAAAATACTTTGCTCTGTCCCCAAACTGGTTATGTTTTAAACCCTCTCCATTCCCTGCCTCTTTTTAAAGCAAAATTAACCATTTTGCCAACTTCTCTCCAGGAGGACAATGTTGAAAGTCAACGTACACAGAGACAGGATCACAGGGAATGTGTAATTACAGTCAGGTAGGAAAAGCAATTAACAGCCAAGGGATTTTTTTTCTGGTAACAAAAGCCAGAAACAATGGTTGAAATGAGTTGAAAAATGTAGAGGGTTTGGGGTTTTTTAGATAATTTGTTTTGAGCCAGTCACACTGAGATTGTAGCAGTGGAACTGCAGTAATAGAAAGCATTATTTCAACTTCAGAGTGAAAAACTTGATAGTCTGTGAAAAAAAATCGATTTAAATTGTGTAATAGCCAAAAATACAGTGGTGTGACAGGAATGTAAGGCTGCTGTTAGCAGAGCAGCTTCACACACACACACCAGACCAGTTTTAGACCTGTCCTTGGCTCTGTCCCTTCCCTTGCCTTTCCTCCTGTCCCTTCCCTCAGCTCTGTCCTTTTCCTCTAGTCCTTTTTCCCAGCTCTGTCCCTTCCCTCTTGTCCCTTTCCCCAGCTCTGTGCCTTCCCTCCTGTCCTTTTCTCCAGCCTTGTCCCTTCCCTCTCGGCCCTTTCTCCACCTCTGTCCCTTCCCTCAGCTCTCTCCCTTTCCTCCTGTCCCTCCCCTCATCTCGTCCCTCCCCTCACAGTTCCGCTCAGCCGCTCT